TATATAGCTAGATGAAGAAATTGATCAGAATTAGGTCATCATCACACACAACAAGAAAAATTGTACACTGACTACCGTGAAGTAGCTAACTATCCAAAGATGGAGTGAGATTTACAACCAAATAATACTACATATAGGCTATAGCCTATATATATAAAAAGTGGTTAGAAATTTAATATCTCTATAAGTCAGTAAAAAAAAAAGTAATTAAGTTCCATATTGCAGTGCTTAAAATAAAACATGACCTCATTCTAAATTTACTACACAAATAGTAAGTAAAGGTTTGTTATTTCACATCCCCCTACTTTTTTCATGATTTCGTGGATCTTTAACTACTCTCATAACCAAAAAGTTTCTAGTTATATAGGGGGGTTTATTAGCTTTAATTTTTTTAATATTTTTTTCTCATTACATAAGGGATAAGATGAAACAAACAAACAAACATGTTTTATAATGTAAGAATATCTCATTTTCTAGTAATGAATTTTCCTTTGATACCACTAGACTTCAATTTTTTATTGTGAATTTTGATTACATAGGTATTAAATATATATTTTTTATAAGATTGGTGTTAATTAACTTGTGCGATAGTAGTAATAAAATTAGAATTTTCACTAAACAGGATAAGTTATAAAGAAATACGAATTAAAAATCAATTTTCCAACGAAAGGTGTCACGAGAGGACAAGAATGGTTTCTCTATCGGCAAGAAGATGAGGAAGCTAGTTTAATTGAGAAAGTCACTTTCTTTAATGTATATTAGACGGTAAACAAAAGCATGACACATGATGCTTTCATTCTCTTTTAGAAGTGCTTTTCCCTTTTTACTTCATTCTCTTTTAGAAAAAATAGTATTGCTTGAAAGCAAATTATGAAATTACATATGTGAATGTAGAGATCATTGGTGTCCTCTTCGAGATGAAGTATTAATTGTCTTTCAAATAAAAAAGATGAGTAAAAAAGGCTCGAGAAAATGTTCTTGAAAGATGGGATATCTGAAAAAGTAATAGCAGAGAGTCATTCAACTATTTACCATCTATATCAGATTATCAGCTTCATGTAAAATCATATACTTTTTTAATATTAATTTATATGGTATTGTTTGATCAAGCATAAAGTTTGTTATGATGTTAAAATGAAATTCGTGTTATTAAATAATTATCAACTAACGAAAGTTAATATATATTTAGAGATAAATTAAAAGAAAATATCACGTAAATTGAGATAAAATATAGAAATCTCATGTATAGTTACTTGATAAATAAAGTGGTTTGTGATATTTCTATATTTTACTTTCTTAAGATAATGTTATGGGTGCATGAAATTCAACTTTTACTCATTTCTAGCATTTTCATGTATACACACAAAGTGGGGAAACCTAGCTAACTAAACCCTAGCTATTACCCATGGTGCTCTTTTCATCAATCTATCCATCTACTGTCTGTTTGTGATATCTGACTCTTAACAGTACTCTCCATTAGTACTAAATAAAATTGTCTGCAGGAGACTGAGACATTGTTCAAGTAAAAAAAAATCTATGGTTGTTTGGTTCGTAAAATAAGAGATAATAATTTTAGAATAAATGATAAATAATTTCATATCGTATTAGGATACCAGGCTAAGAAATTCGAGATATTATTTTCTCACGTGTCAATCGCATATGGTAGCAATCCTAGGATTAGATGTAACATACATAATTAGGGATTAGAATAAGTTATCTCATATACTACATGATAGAATAATTTATCCTGAAATTTATTATCACAAAATAACTTGTTTCCAGTCTAATGACCCCTAGTGTTAGTTTTATACCATATCAAACAAGTAATAATAGCGAACCCATGATTAAACACCAAAAAGACCATAATATCCTTCTCCAAGACACTGCTCTCCAAGTTGTCCTTTAAAACATGTAAGGTTAAAATTGAAAAAATCAAAATGTATTCTTATTAATGTAAAATCAAACACACACACACAATAAAAATGTAGTCTCATAAAGCAATCGTTCTTGTAAAAAACAAGGTATATATATTCACTTAATAACTTGTTAAAAAATGTACCAAAATATTGTTTTGATTATAAGTCAAATTCACATCGACTTAAGTACACGTACATATAATTAACTTGTTCATCAATCAAACGACCTCTTAAAGAGAAAAAGGGTATTCTTGGAATATTGAATAAAAATAGTACAAAGAGGTGTAACTATATACTGGTGACAAAGAAATAATTCTAAGTAACTGTCCATGGGGCTGATGATATAATATGTTATGGCATATGGTGTCAGCAATAAACATATATATATATATGGAACAGAGATTTTTAATTATTTTTTTTATTATTATTATGATAATTCTAATAGTTGGGGGTGGGGGTGGGGTGGGGGTAGGGGGTAGTACACTGCAATACAAGAAGATGAAAAAAGGTACAGTCTTTGATTTCATTTTGAGATTTTCTTTCATTGATTGGGGTAGGAGACATTGCTTTATAAACAGAAAGGAATCGTCCTTATATATATTTACATTTTTTTTAAAAAAAATTTAAGTATAATATTTTAGTCGAATATATCGATAATCTCTTTAATTTGTATTTTACACTTACGTAGCAGCAATATTATTCAATATTATGTGATTTCTTTCTATATTTTTGGATACGAATAGTTCGAACCACGTAAACATTACTCATTTCTTACATTCCTTTCCTATTTATGTTAATTTATCTTTCTATTTTGTTAATTCAAAAAAAAAAATATTTTTACAATTATATAATTTGTCATTTTACAAAAAAGATATTTAATTTTACGATCTCAAATTAAAATATACTAAATATTTCAAAACGGGAAATAGATATTCTATTTAAGTCCGACTAAATATAAAACAAAAAACAAACACGAATCACCTATCATGTCAAAAATTGTAACACAATATAAATTCTTCAATTTATCTTAATTTATGACCGTATAATTTTTTACCATTTGAATTAAATTATAATTTTCTTAAAATATAATTTAAGTATCGTATTCAATCAAACACGAGTCATGCAAATTAAAACGAAAAAAATATAAAAAGGGATTAGGTAGACGTCCCCACGTGCGTTAGTAATTTAGTGTCAAAGAGACAGAAGCAGACCAAACGGTTCGTCTGGTTATATATATATATATATATATATATATATATATATATATATATATATAAAAGACACCTTTGTTTAAAGCTGATAATTTATTGCCCCCACCCACCTCACCCTACCTTTTCGTATTGATGTTCGATAAAATTTAAATTTATAAAAAAATATATTTTTTTAATATCAATATTTCTAATAGAATTTTAAGGTTTCGAGTTAAAGATGAAAAAATGCTTCCTAAAAACTACTAGTTAAGGAGAAGAGAATTGAAAACCGATCAATTAAATATGAAAAAAATTCGAAAAAGGAAAGCAAAATAAATTGTGATCACATAACAAAGACAAAGACTACTTGAGAATTAGAAAATCTCGTATCAGTAAAAACATAAGAGAGACGTTGAATATATAAATATCCATGTTAATATAATACACTAGTAATATATTTTAAAATCTTACAAAGTTTTATGTTTAAAAATAAAGAAGTCAATCCAAATATAAATTGTATGGATCACACAACTAAAAAATAATTTAATGTAATTAATATGTCAGAATTGTTAGTGAGCATTACATCAGCTAACTCAGAACTGAAAATATTGTCCTTTTCTCACACTGCAAAAATATTTTTTTTCTATCTGCACATAGATTTTCCATATCTCTATTTAAACAATACATATTCTATATATCATGCAAAACGGTTACTATTTTCTTTTACATAACAACCTGACAATGTAATAGATATTTATATTTATGAGTATAATTCCATGAGTTATAGTAGTTTATTTATTGATTACTAATACGTCATCTGACTCGATTTGTATAATGTTATTTGCTTTTGACACAAAATTTAAGAGAATTTTTTTTTTTTTGATTTAAAACAAGTTACATATATTTAAAATTAGAAAAGGGATTGTCTTTGCGGTGATCTAATTATATAAATATCATTGTTTTGTTGGTGTGTAGGATTTTGATTTCAACTCAAACTTAGAATATTGCCTAGCGCAACTGAGGTTTCAAATCCATATTTGAAATTTACAAGCATCTTTCTTTATCATATCAAATAATGACGATATGTGGTGTCGTAAGGTGTTGGTTTAAGTTCTCCAATGAGTGCAATCGTCATGTTTAGTTGTCATTGTTGAGCTTAGAACTCGGAACAAATTGTCAGTAATAAGTCAAAGGAGAAAATGTCACCTTAATCTGCAAGAAAAATGAACTTTGCTCCTCTGTGCATCGAGTTAATTGTTTCTTGAGTTTCACACCTAATTAGCTTTAACTAGATAGCAAGGGATAATGGATCAATTTGAAGTCCATTTCATATTTTGTAAAATTAGATCAACCAAATACATTAGACTGTAAATTTTCTAGTAAAGAATTCACTCCCTTAAAGCCCATAACACAAGAGATCATGATGTAGCAAACCATTTTTTAGGTGATCCGGCTTAAGACGTCAAAAATTTTAAATTTTTTTGTGGACGTCCGTCAATACCTTGACTTTTTACAGACACAAAAACTTTTAGCTTTAACTACTTTATTTCCTATCAGAAAAAGCCCAAGAGGCCAGCAAGGTTGATACTACTTCAAAAGACCCATAAACTATTGCATACCCAAGTTCTTTTGATTTTTCTTGGACCAGTTACTTTTAGCAAATGGAAAATTTATATTTTCGAAATGACAAACTATTAATTTAAATTAAATGATATAGCCATAGTTTATTTTATTTGTAATTTGCAGCAAACATCCCCCTTTTTTTCTCATCTGATTCAGTATACAATTAGCCATTTTCGATAATGTTTGTATAAAGCGAGAGAAAAGTATATATATACATATATATTCATCATATACACTTATAATTATACAAATACAGATGTTATTATACAAATTTACAATGTACAAAATGAATTAATAAAAAACTGAAACATTTGTACAAAATTTACAATGATGCTAACTATAACTATAACATACAAATATGATTTTTATGTTTGCTATATGTGAACGTTCCTCCACTGTCTCACACTTTGATTGATGCTTCATTGTACCTTCATAGAAGGGGTTCATCCAAACCCCATTCGACGAAAAATTATATTATTTATACATGGTTAAAATAAGTTTATATGTATATATATAGTAAGATGTCAAACCCCTTCAGCTATCTATTTCTACAGATTTTGAGCCCTCTTATTGAAAATTCTGGCTCCGCCTCTGCTCCCTGTCATAACATGAGAGATATTTAACAACCACATAGAGCATCGAAATGAATTATTAATAACAAACAGCAAGTGATCACAAGTTTATATACCTATATTATGATCTTTGTTTCTTAGAAGAGGAACAACCAGCCTCCTCATAATGTTCACTATCGTCGTCGTCGTATCTGATCCTCCTTACCCCAATGGTAAGTTCATCATTGGTGGTCTCAAGCACAGATTCATCTTCATAGAACAAACGAACTCCACACTCCTTCAATTCTTGAGGAAAAGATAACATAATGTGCTTATAGTCATTTGGTGTTTTACCATTGGCGTTAGATGTATCCCATAAGCCAGCAAAAGGTACCAAGAAAAAATGAATCCTAATATATGTACATTCTGAATGATTCGATAACAAAAGTTTCCAGGTGATACATGGCATCCCTGCAGAACTCATAATCAATTCAGCTGTGTTCTCAGTTAAATTGCCATAGTAACATACAGCGAATCCCAAGAAGTTATCTGATACATACCAGTTTTCAGGCAAATTGACTGAAACACTTGTATCTGTTCCCTGATGGTGGAACCAGATTGGGATACTACTCCCCAAACTCGTAAACACTCTTAACGACAACGAATCTGAAGCAGAGATGTTATGTTGGAATGATGAGATATTTAGAAACAGTGACTTACAGATCAAATCATTGCTCCAATCTGCAAATATTGTATCTAATTGCGGTGGAAATTCTGGCAGACTTGTAAGACTCCTGCAATCTTTTATGTATAAGAATCGAAGTGCACCAAGTTGGGCTATGCTTTGAGGCAAATGATTGAAATTATCTCCCTCGAGACGTAACTCTTTCAAAGAGGATAAACATCCAATATCTTCCGGAATTCTTCCATCTTCGAAATTGGAGGAACCGAGCTCCAGAATTTCCAATGAGAGTAACCCGTTATTCACAGGAGGAAACACAAAGCACACATCATCTGTTAATGTGTTTCGTTTCATTAACTTCAAGGATTTAAGCTTGTTCAAGCGGACAATGGAAGATGGAGGCTGTGAAATTAGAGTACGCGAAGCATCAAGTTCCTCCAAGTTTTCTAAATCACCAATCTCTTCAGGCAAGCTTTTAAGCGTTAAGCAGTACGACACATTTAGCTTCACCAAATCTTTCAACTTGACAATGCTGCTTGGAAGAGCTTCAAGGTTTTCCATGCCACTCAAATCTAGCTCTGTGAGATGAGTTGGGTACTGAAGAGATGATGGTAGTTCAGTTATCATAGTGTTTGCTGAGAGAATCATTAACTCCGGCTTCATCGTTCCGATGATTTCTGGAAACACCATTATACCATAGCAATATTGTAGATCCAGAGATTCAAGAGATTCCATGTTAATATATGGAAATCTCCTAAGCTTTGTACACCAACTCAAATTTAACTCAATGAGTTTTTCGCAATATGCTAGGGAATAGTGAACCTCTTCAAGCTTACTACAGTACTCCAGATTCAAATACTCCAAATTTGGCATCCCCGTGAAATCTGGTGTTTGCACCAGACTTTTAGATAAGCTGAGATCTAGCTTTCGTAGAGACGGCAAATGCTGTTATTCAAAATAGAGAAAGAATAATGATCTTTGTGTCAGACCAAAAATGACAAGAGGGAGTTGAGCACCCTCACTTCCAACCCAAAAGGTTGTGGGTTCGAGTAAATAAGAGAGCAAAAGGGGTTGAAGCTCCTGGAGGAGGGTAAGTAAAGTAAATAATAATGTTACCTCTGTTTTCTTCCATAAATAATGAAGCGAACTCCAACGGAGTTCAAGATGAACAAGCTTTTCTGGTTTAAAATTTTCTGGCAATGACTTCCAAGAATAGTGATTCCAGACTAACCAACGCAAGTTATTGGACAGGTACTCAATAGAGTCATCATGGTGATCTACGACTAAGTCGTAGGAATCATCTTCTTCTTCTGAATCATTGGAATTGGAAGAGGGAGGCGAAGAGAAGAATTTGACAAAACCATCAAATATGTGTAATATCCTAAGCCTTTTCATTTTTTTCATTGCCTCCTTATTAAAACGTACTTCTTCAAAGCAACTAAACCAGATTGCTTCCACTGTCATGGTCCCCTGGTATAAAGATCAATGAGTCAATTATTCATAAACTGTATTGATTAGCCTATAAGTTCCTTGGAATATAAAAATTAGAAATTAAATATCATTGCATTGTTAAGCTTACTTACCGTATAGTCTATCATCACTTCTTTGAAATCTTCAACATCCCATATTCTGCTACGTTTTTTCTGAAGCTTTTGCATTTTCACCACATATCTACCCATATCTCTAATCAAATCATGCATTTCAATCCTGTCATTTTCAGATATGAACACAAGAGATTTATTAATCAGAACATCCAATCCGTATTCAGCTCCAAAGTCACAACTCTTAAGAATTTGCATGACCTCTTTTCTTTTCTCTCCGCGGAAGAAACATGCTATATCTAAAAATATTTCCTGCTCTTCGGACTCCAACCCATCATAACTTATTTTGAGTTGTTCAACAATTTCTGAATTAGAGTCTTTCTTTATTTGCTCTACTGTTATTTTCCATAAAGAGAGATTTTTTTTATGCAATAAACAGCCCCACACCTTGAGGGCTAAAGGGAGGCCTTTAGCGTGATTTACTATCTCTAACGCCAACTCCTTAAAATCCTCATTTGGAACTTCTTTTTTAAAAGCATGCATATTGAATAATTGCATAGCTTCATGATCAGGCAGTGTAGACACTTCGTATATCGCATCATCTTTCTCTATCAAATGTTTGTTTCTAGTTGTTACAATAACTCTGCTGCCATTACCAAACCAACAAATATCACCTGCTAAATACTCCATCTGATCACCATGATCTATATCATCAAGCACAATTAGAACCTTCAAAGAACAAAGTCTGTTTGGAATCATACACTTTCCATCATACTTGTTGTAGACGTAATCATTTTTTTTCCTTAACAGTTCAGAGAGAAGAATATTTTGTAAAGAATGCAGTTTATTCTTTTTTGCAAATTCTTTAACATCAGCAAGAAAACAAGAAGCTTCAAATTGATAAGATAGAGTATCAAAAATGGCTTTTGCTATTCTTGTTTTACCGACTCCGCCTATTCCCCAGATCCCTAAAATCCGAACATCATTGATTTCTATTTGAAGTTTCGATTTTAGTTTCTCTAAGTGAGCATTTATTCCCACAATATCTTGCAAAAAAGATAAAGAATAAGCATTCGTACAAAATTTGGAAGAGATGCAATCTACGATCTGCTGAATATTCTCTGATTCAATCCTACATAAAGAAGAAAATTGATTGTGGACAATGTAAGAAAGTCAAATACCAACAAGTATTTCATATACTCTATATATATTGTTAATAATCAGCAGGGTATTAAATAGGAAATAGAATAGTTCAGGTAATAACAATACTCTATAGTTTTCAAGTATGGAAGTTGCAAAACTTGAATAGTTTTTTGGACTTTTATGTATCTTCTCTAATTAAATTGATTGGACTATGCCTTTTTAACAGTAAAAACATTAAAAGTAATTATGTGTATTCAACTAACCCGTTACGGATATCATATCCTTTTAGATTTGCGGCAGCAGTTAGGGCAGTTCTCCATCTTTGCACCTTCTGCATCCCCTCAACATCATCCTTATACTTTGATTCGTGTTTGGCAAATGCTGCTCCAAAGCTTTCAGTTTGGTATCGAACATGTGATGGATCCACATTATAAAAGATCGGTATGACTGTTTGTCCATTTTCTTCCTCTTTGCATTCCATGATCTTCACTAGTTCATTCAAGCACCACCTAGATGTAGCATAATTCTTTGAGAAAATGATAAGTGCAACTTGAGAATCTTCTATAGCTCTCAAGAGTTCTTTTGGAATTGAATCTCCATGCTCTAGTCTTTTATCATCTTGAAATGTGTTTATTCCTCTATTTCTCAAACCTTCGTATAAGTGACCTGTAAATGTTTTTCGAGTGTCTTCACCTCTGAAACTTAGAAAAACAACGTACTTCCATCGAGGATAATACTTTGAATTACTTGCAGAAGAAGAAGAAGAAGATGCCATAGATTCGATTAAAAATAAATTGTATGGATGAGATCAATTGATGATATTTTGGACAAAGTTATATACAAGAAAGAAGAATTAAACAAGTACCACTTGAAACGTGAAAGCTTGTATTAACATTCGCTTTGATCAGTCTTCAACAATAAAAAATAATCTAAATAAAATTCTCTGTCACACTAATGAAAGCTGACTTTGTCAAAGGACAACAAAGAAGAGTTGACAAATTAATTTATTTGTTTACCGTTGCCCTTTTTCCACTAACAAAAGCCATCAAAAGATTAAAATAATAAAAACTTGAAAATGCCGAATTTACCCTTAACTTATGAATATTTACTTTTATAACCCTCGATATTATAAAATTATAATTAAACGGGTGATTTGAAAGTGAAGCAATAGTACTTTAATGCTCATACTTAAATCAATCAATTTAATACGAGTTACGACATTCACATTCTCTTTCATTTATAGTATCTATATATAAATGTCTTTTTTTTTCTTTCTTTTCCTTCTTATTTACTGGTGTATTGTTTATATGTTAAAATAATGATAATCTCATATCATTTTGCTAATTATATCATACATATACGGCCATTTTATCCTTCAAACAATTATATTATTCCAAAAACTTTTAAATGCAAAAAATATAAATACACATGCATATTTCATACAATAAGATAACGAGATGGAAAGTATGTAAAATTGTTTGATGCCTAACTAGAATAGTTGTCATATTTAATTTTCACTACTTGGCTATAATATAATCTTGTAAGAAACCATGATTTTATAGGAGGAAACTTCAATAGCAACCTTCAAGGTTCAACCAACTTCGAAAGTACATGTATGATATTATTTCGAGTATCTATACAGCCAGATAACGGAAAACCAACAAGAATATGTCATGTCAACAGCAAATTAGACAATAAAGTATAAGGATTTTCTACAGACGTGGAGAAGCACATCTTTCAGTAGAACCAGTCTGGGATCGAGCTACTTATAGATTCGATTAATTTCACAATAAGAAATGTAAGCATTGCTCTATGAATTGGAGAAAACAAGGTGAAAATCTGGAGTTACACAAATTTCTGGCCGGCAGAAAGCTGAGCAATGTCAAATGAGGTGTTATAGAAAGGAACAGTTAATTGCTTGCTTACTGCCCATTGTTGAACCATTGGTTTCAGCATGAGAAAAGAGAATGCAACAGAATTCTCGAATAACAGGTTTCTAGCATACTTCAATTAATCGATCATTTAACATAGTCATTCAACCATTAAACTTATGCATCATCTAATCATCACATTAATCGCCAATGCTAATGAACTAACCCTTGCAAAATTGCAAACACACTAAAATAGTATCGTCTCCGTTCCAATTTTGTATGACATTTCCCTTTTTGGGTCATCCCCAAATATTTGGATTGATTCTATTTTGATAATACTTTCACAACTTCAAGAACTAAATATTAATCAACTATTCAAAATTTTGACTTTGATCTGATAGTTTCTGCATTAAACCTTTTCAACCAGTATTGTAATATTTTCTTTCACTATTATTAACATAGTATAGAATCAAATTAACATCTTAAACTCCGTTCAGACTAATGTAGTCATATAAAAAGAACAGAGAAAGTATTTGTTAAGAGACTCGGATATCTAAAGAGATGAATCCTAACTTCAATAGTAAGGACAGAGCAGTGGTCAATGAGTCTCATTATCATTATATACACAGAGAAATGCCTGTTTTAAGGCTTAATATCTCCTACCACACCAAGGAAAATCACATCCCTCTACCATCGGTGTGGCTATAATTACATCTGGTCGCAACTATATAAATAAAATGTAATCTTTGAGAAGAAAATACTAGATGAACATGCGTGCTCGAGAGCAATAATTCAATATGATACATCATATGTCGATCATATCCGTTATAAAAAACAAGAGCATAGCAAAATTCGAATTGCATTCAACGAGATACAATGAAAACCATGAACAAAGAACACCATATCAAGGATAAAAATCATTACTTTATCGCGAAAAATGTACATCTAACAACAATTTATATATGTCAAACATTTAGTATTAACTCTAATGAGTCTCCAACATAGACAAACTCGACTCTAACCATAGAAAAAGAGTTAATTACGTACTACATTTGCTTATCATCCACTAACCTCAATCGCATTTCAATCAATCTGGCATTGAATTCTCCATCACTAACCTTCAACATCTCCGATAAAGACAGCGTAAACCCATGCTCCACCAAAAGCCTATGCCGAGGCTTAATCTTCCTCTCCAAACTAAACGAAAAGTACTGAGGAAACCTCTTCAATTCCCTTATATCCCCATTCATCTCCTTCAAAAAATACTCAACTTTTGGCCTAAAGTTTTTCTCAATACTAAATGTCAACAACCCAGGTGATCTCAAAACCATATTAGCCACATCATCGAGTTCAAATCCCAAACTCAACATGTAATCAATTTTAGGGTTCAAAGTTAGCTCAACACTGGACACAAGCAAAACAGTAGTCTGACAAGTAATTCGATTCTGACCCACAAACCCAAATTCCTTCAAAAACTCAAATGTGGGTTTCAATTGATCTTCAACACTACAAACAAGAATTCTCGGACATCGGATAATGGATTTCCGAATGTCATGGAAAGGGATAACGACGTCGTTTAACAAGAAATCGAAAATTGGGTAAAGGTGGATATATGGGTCGGAGGTTAAAAGCTGAGGATGCATATCAAGTATTCGACCAATTGCCGACCGTTCAATCCCCATTGAAAACAGACATACTTCAACAGATCTGATTGAATCGAGCGTTGCTGATCGTAAATGGGGGTTTAGTTGAAGAACTTTACTGGGATTGATATTGAGTTCTTGAAGATAGAGTATTTTCTCCCTGAATTTGAGACCACAGTCAGTTGAAGTAAGGGTGTGCTGAGGAGAAAGGTGAAGGGATTTGAGTGAAGTTTTTGTGGGTTTTGGAGAAATTGAGCAAATGGGTATTGGAGAAGAAGGGTTTGGGATGATGGAAGAAAAGGGGATTAGGGTTTTGGGAGGGTTTATCCATGTTAGCATCTCAGGTAGCTGAAGTAACATTGAAGAAGAAAGGACTCTTTTTGCATGCTTTGTGTTTGGAGTTTTATCAACAAAGATGAGTTTTTTGAGTTTGTGTTTTTGTTATTTCTATAGCCTATCTCCTTATCCCTATTGCATTAAACTATTTTCGTTACGTGAGTTTTATGTCTCAACTATTATACGTATTAAATCTTTTAAGTGAATTATTAAACGCTCATTTGAAACACGATTTAACTTTGAGTTATTCACTTTTTTTTATATATAAATGGTAGTAATATTTCAAGTACGAATACTATAATATTTGTATATTATATGTATATTGATTACATACCTATCATCATCTACGAATTTCAAAACTTTCCAATATCAAATCCTTGAAGATGGTAAAGCCCAAGTTCTTTCTGTAGGATACATTCAAAAGGCTTGAAGATGGGATCCTTATATACAACTCATTTTCTATTGTACAAATAGCAGAATATGAGTGAGATACTCTTATTTTGATAAATATATTAGTGTATATTTGATACCAGATACATGTATCTTCTTAGAATTATGTATCTATGCACACATACAGTGTATACATCATTGTATACTTTGATATTTGATACTACAGGAATCAGGATACAAGATACATGTATCTGGATAAATGTATATTTTATCTTGTTCAATTCGATATTATGAAAGACAAATACATTGTATAGTACACGAACACACTTAGGTATCATATATATATGTACAAGAGACGAGAGAGGTGAGAGAGAGAAGGTGTCACGAGATATAACCTCTTAACGAGTGGCATGAAAGATATCTTGATTAAAATAGGAGAGTGGCGAACGAAACAGAAGCAAAGAGAGGTGTGAGAGAAAGGAAAGAGGAGAGACATGATCTATAATTATTTAAAGTATCATTTCATAACGTAATTTCAAAATATACTATCGTATTTTGTGAGATTTCCCCTATATATTCCTCTTGCGTAAATTGAACTCGCGAAAACAAGGAGATATATCACGAGCCCAAAGTTATTGGGCCTCTAATGTGGACTGTGACATAATGTCTAGCCCAATGCTTAAGAAAATTCACCAAGTGAGACAACACGAGATTAACATAGTTAGACCCATTTCGTTGAAAAATACTGAATTTCAATCGATGATATTTCAATTTAAAAAAAATAAAGCAGAAGTAACATAGGAAAATAAATTCATGGAAATGAATAGGACTAGAAATTGAACAGTAGCTCTATGATAAAATTATTATCTTATGGCGATTTAAGATAACAGACTCAATGAGTTCGAGTTTGAATCAGAATTATTGAGCTCATATAAATTATAATGTGCATATCTCAATAATTCATCATACTCTTTACCTACCTAAGTTTATCACCTTCTTTAAATTAATAATATACATATCGATACTTAATTGGTCATTTCACATTGAAAAATAAGATGCGTGAAACTTTTTGTTTTTACTTTTTATTTCTTCTAGAATTTTTTCTTTTCATTTTCACATCACAATAATATGTATTTATTTTTTTAGAAATATATAAAATAAAAAATAGAATAAGAAGAGAAGTAGGACAAGTAAATTGAGCGATAAATGCGGAGAAAATAAAAAATTCACATGTGAAAATGTCCAAAAGAATATGACATCCCCAAAGATCCCCCATATCTCTATTTTTTTGGCTCCATTAATTAGCTCCCACAAAAATTGATACTATAGAGTTTTATAAATCGGAGATTGAGTTATGTTTAATTATACGTTCAATTCTAGCTATCGAATTATATTATATTGTAAAATATTATTTATTTTTCAATTGTAGCTGCAATTAAGTTGATATTTAATAGGATATCGAGAGATGTATGAACTACTATAGAGTGAAAAGGTAAATTTATGCAAATTTGAAAGAGTTTTGGAATAATACGAGTAAACCTAAGGATGAAATTCAACAAAAAATAACGACTATAGAGATTGAGTGATTGACGTTTAGGTTGACGCTTTGAATACCCCCACAACATCTAAGATTTCTAGAATTTTATTTGGCCAAAATGGCCGAATAGTAAAGTGGAGCCCTCAAAAAGCCTAATTTATTGAAGATTCTTGGTCTTTATTCATTTTCGATCGCATATCAAATCTTTTTTCAATATAGATGATAACGAGCTAGACAGTAACAAAAGAAATCAAACATAGAAATAAAGAATAAAGTCGTCTATCATTTTGATAGAAGATAAAAAAGTATCAACTAGGATTTAGATGAATTTTGCCATTGAAAGGAAGTTCCTAATTACCTAATGTTGGATTATTTATTGTGGATTAATGTTATTAGTGATACTTGAGCATAAAAACTTAAAAGATGTGATTTTAATTAGGGTTGGGCATAAACACCGGAAAACCGAAATACCGTATCGAATCGATTTTTTTTGGTATTTCGGTTTCAGTTTTTCGGTTTTCGATTCGGTATTCAGTATATGTTTTTGTATTTTTCAGTATTTCGATTCGGTTTTTGGTATGTAATTTTGTGTTATTCGGTATTTCGGTTTACCGAAATATATTATATTATAATATATATTTATATTATATTAATTATTAATGTAAAAATAATAAATATTATAATTTAAAATAAAAAAAAAGTAAAAAGTAAAAGACATTTTTTTATGTAATTATTTTTAGCCCATTAAGTTGAAACAAACAAAAAAAATTGTAAATTTTTAAAAGTCCAACTAAGCAGGCCCATTAAAAAAAATAAAATAATAAAAACCGAACCGAAATAATAAAAACTGAACCGAACTGAATTATTTTGATTCCGTGTTCGGTACACATTATACAAGAATCGAAAATAAAAAAAAAACCCGAAATCAAACCAAATTACCAAATGCCCACCCCTAATTTTAACCTAAGAGTTTTCATGTTGGTCTTTTTAATTTAATGTAAAATACTTGTAATATGACACTCTTTTTCCAATATTAATATTCATATTTAAATATCATTAACTACATATTAATAAAATAAATTAAGAGAGTGTTAATGGGATATTGAGTCACTAGGCTCAAAACACAAGAAGAGAAAAGAAGGGCAGATGGAAGAAGGTGAGGGGTGTTTGACTAGTCATTGTCAGCCTTTTCAGGGCATCAAGCATGCCCTCATTCATCCCACTTTTCAAGTTTTAAATATTTCGTTACGTTTCTTCCGTTTTAATTTATATGATAATATATAATTAAAAAATTTTAAAAAATAAACATAATATGTAAATGCACTTTAAATTTGAGTTCAATTGATAAACTTTTAAATTTATATAAAATTAAATAAATAAACACATTGGATTATGTGATGTCTTACAAATCAGTTAAGATATATTTCAGGCTAACTATCACATAAAACACCAAAGTTTATTCGAAATTTGACTTACAAGTGTCAAATTGGACCACTCTAGGGGAGTTGATGTATTTAATATATTTTTATAACAAAACATAATTTTATTGATAAATCGTTTGTGTTGATTCTATATAGATTGTTAGATTATATATCTCAAACGTAAAATGATTTAGACTTCTTTGAAGTTTATTTAATTTCCATGCAAGGAGGATTTTAAGAATTTTCTTAAACCAATTGGTTGTCAAGAAAAATTCAATCATGTTCTAATTTTGCTATGAACATTTGATAAATTTATATAATTTTGCTATGAATATTTTTATAAATTTATGTATGAACAAATTT